TTTCTTTGGTAAGGGAAAGAATCATGAAGAAGTGAAACAACATATTATGAGTCTTTTCACACGTACTGACGGGTTAAGGCACATTGATTTTGAGTAAATCCGTAAGTTTGCTTATGTTTCTAGGAGGTCTCTTCATCAATAAATAAAGGATCTGCAGAGCAAAATGTCTCGTTTTGTGAAAAAATACATAAACCTTAGGACTTATAAACTTCCGAAGACCGAGCTTTGGAACATTAATTGATCCCGGTTCCTATATTTTTGGTATGGCAAGCAGAAAATGCTCTTCCCACTACGATTCATTCTAACAAGAAAAAGTTCCATCAGAAATTTCTCAACAGCTCGAAGGCATTCTAAATATCTTGTAGACATCACTAGACAAAATAGTCTATATCATTAATATTTACTCCACCATCCACTCTTAATAATCTTTTTGGCATCAAAGACAGGCAAAAAGACCTGTCAGTATACATTCCAGCAGAAGACAGAAATGTGCATTTAGTTCCAGGAATTATTGTGCACAAAATAAGAGAGACTAAAAACACCAACCATCGTTAAGCCAGCTATGTTTGTGCTAAACATATCAACTGCAAAAATTTCAGGACAACGTAAAATTTGCCATTCATCTTACTATACTACAGATCGAGCTGCAAGCTGTGCCTTTCTGTCTGTTCCAAATACATCGCTCATACTGCTTGTCTTTCATTGTGTAACCATCTGTCAATTTTCCAAACTGAGGTTTTGACATAAATTTTAAAAATGTATTCCTTTTCGTTTGACCCAGTTGGGAAAAACTCCGCCTGCTCGGTGGGATTTGAACCCACGACAACTTGGTAGTTATTTGACAGCTTGGATAGTCAGCTTACAGTATCAGAATTGGTGGAGAGTAACTTGGCCCAAGTGTGATCAAACACATGGCTCCAGGTGGGACTTCGTACCTTAGGTGGTTAGAGCGTTAGCGGTAATAAAGCCTTCCCCTCGTTTTCGTGGGTTTGAATCCCACCGATATCACCAAGAGTTTGCACAACTGGGTTAAATTAATTTCTCAAGTTTGTCAAGCTTCCCTCTTATACTCAGACCACATCAACGGACGCTGCTCTACGATGATCATAATACCTTGCAAAATTATATGTTGGAGTAATATTTAGTATTTGCGGTTCGCTCTTTCGGAGTGACTCGTTGTTTGAAGCGAGTAAACTGAATCATTTATCTGTTTGATATTACAGAAGGCAATTATGTCTTACGTATGTTATGTAAGTTAATTAAAGTGGACGCTCGTGTGCGAGATGGGGACTAGAATTTTAACTGGTTATTCAGGTGTGAAATTCTACGGAAAATACATCGGAAGATGTAGTGGCCCTATCTGTCAACATCAGTAACCCTGATTCTGAACCATACCGGTTGCTCAGCGAATGCTTTATAGGTTGACTCAGGAAATAAAAACCTGTCGACTGCCATCGGGAATCGAGCCGCTTTCTCCGATGCATCCTGATTGCAGTATACAGTATGGATGACGCCGTTTTGCATTAGGCTTGCCGCTAAGAGATATTGCAGTAACCAGCATGAAGAGCATAAATCACCATAAGAGAAGGCTGCAACGTATCTTTCGCTGATCTGCGGCCACGAAACAGCTGCCTATGAAAGTTGTTTTGCATGATCATTTGGAACTCTCCCCTTTTTGTGCTCCACTCCGCTTCAGACTCTACTGAAGGCGATACATACACTGTAGCCTAGCAAGTGGCCTCTCTTTCATTCCCCAATTTCTTGGCGGCAAACTCCTCAACGTGGCTTATGTGTCATTGGTATTCTAAGAGGTCTGTATGTTAGCTATTCCTTATTCAAACTTTGAACAAATTTCAGATCGTGAACGTGCTAGTTCGGCATCGTATTTGAAATTCTTACCGGACCACTGTGAGACCTCAGCAGACCCGCGCGATCAAATGGAAGGATTCTGGGTACCGCTCTGAATTTTCATCTTGGCTCTCGAATATAGCCAACTTACACATTTTTCCTTGCGTTCACCAAAAGGAAAGCTTCTCACTGCTTCCTATCCTCTAGTAAGTTGGTTAGCAGCCGTATGAAGGGAGTCATTACGTTGTTTTAACCAACGTACAGGAACAAAACACGGCACTGTGATGTCATGAACACAGAAAAGACGCAAATGGGGGTGTTTTAGCATGGGCTGGTTTGCTGCCATCCCGCGAAGCGCGGCCCGTTGCTTGTATGTCCTTCTGATTTGAACAGAGGCAGAAACCAACGAGAATTCGGAGCCTAAAAATGGTTGAATTTCTGGGCTGCCTTGGAGCCCTGCCACCGGCTGTCACACAAGTGGATATCAGCCAATCACAACAGTTCCGCGCCCTTCATTGACAGCAGTGACTACTCATTGGTGACTCATTTACCGAACGCTTATTGGCAAGCCACTTCCGTATTGCGCCTACAAGCTAACAAATGAAGGAATGGAAGAAGACTGCCAACCCATCTTCCATAAACATGTCCTGTCAGACAAGCATAGGTTGAAACAACTACCCGAAACATCAGTTTTACAATAAACCCCTGCCGGTGAACGCTCTTCTTTCGACTGAATTTCAGAGTATGAGATGGTAAATTATGTCTGCCTCTTCTAATTAAAACTAAACTGTCCAGCGGTTAATCTTCGTGTTCCCGCTACGATCTAGACCGGGGATGATAAAAATCAAGTTTCTTTTTAGAATATGTTCAACCTTTGGTAGAAAACGATGGTCGTACTAGTGTAGGTTGCTTAGTAATTTGCTATGGGACCAAATGCTTTAGTTGATTGACTGAAGTTTGTCATTTCTATTCTGAGACTATCATATAGCACTAAATCCATTAAATAACATATTGAGTGAAACGATATAAAATGTGCGAAAGGTGCTGGTATGGCTGTTAATGGCTACTCACGTGAGAGTAAGAGAGAAACGTCCCTGCTCTATCCAGTACTCCGGTTGTTGTGGAAATTCCGCTCATACCAAACTTTTTGTTGACTTACACAAGCAAAATATCTGAGCCTTCCCATCAAATAAAGGGTAGATATGCCACACAGTAGCAGACGCCAAGGGGTTATCAGCTGAAGAAATAAACTTGAGTAGTTTCGACGATTTTCTCACGTCAAAAATTATTGTCAACTATGACAAATGACTCCCTATAACTTACATGAATACACGGCTGAGCAGCATTATGGGGACAGCAGTTTCTGTTGAGACAATTTTCCTCCCATTAGGATGTCGTCAAAAATATTCTCCTGCAATACATGGTTTAAAGATTACTGCCCAGGTGGTTAAAAAATAAAAATGTCATAGTTTAAAGAAGCCTCTATATGCGCTTGCAAACTTCTTCGTCACTAGGATATTTCTCTTTTTTAGCGTTTGGCAGTCAGCCAATGCTGATCAAGAAAATATTATCGTAGGTTTTAAGTGCTAGGGTTTGAACCAAGATTCTGCTGGAAGTGTTGTGATTTAACCGCTCTACTTATTTACGTTATGCTTGGAAATTTTACGGGGTTATTGCACTTTAGAATGAGAATTAGGCCTTTACGTCAACCTTCAAGATGGGCAGAAAAAGACAATACTCGAAGTTCACGATACTCTCTCACAAACTCTAAAATCTCGGTAAAGGCTGTATTGCCCTGACCTTTTAATCTTTCATTCACGATAGTATATGCAACGTTAAAGCTTAGTAAAAAGCCAAACACAGCTAAGAATAAATTTATGTCAACGTTTTGTGTTTTTTGAAGTTCTTGACAATAAGGAAGTCGATTTGCATGCACGGTGCTCCCGTCATCGGTTGAATAACACGATTTCT